TCATCCGCTCGACAAAGTCGACAGCGGAGCTAAAAAAACACAGAATAAATTGTTTCTCCAAGATGATGTAATTCTAAAAATTTGAATGCAAATTTCTTTCAGTATCTAAAGTGGGGATATCCCCCACAACTTTACCCTTCTTTAGAAGCTGTAATTTGATAGCTGGAGATGACGAAGTTACATTATCAGATCTTAACAATTCATTACTAGGATCGTTGACTGTTATATTAATATGGCAGTCATTATGAATGAGACTCCTTTCATGTGCTGCAGCAAGTTGGTTAACAACTCTCCTCTCAACCTGAGCAAAATAAAATAGAAAACATTGGACTTTACATAAATTTTGAGCAGACGCTGATTTCAATGGTTGATATGGAACAAAGATTGCAGAAAGATTGTACTATCTAAATAACATTCATACTTATCATGTTCTACTGGACAAGCATCCAGATGTAAATATTGCATCACTTTAGGATGCTTATTCTTTTTAAATTAACAAATAAGAGGGCAATGATTATAAAAAAAATATAAAATAATTTGAATCAATGACTAGAAAATACAATATAATTGCATTCTGAATGTTGGATATAAACTTGTGTAAAATAGAATGATAGCAGTGTACTGCTTTAGTGAGCACATTACAATCATAAAATCTCATATTTTCAGTAAAGATGTATAAAAGAAGAATAAATAAAATCCAGTGTCAGACGATACTTTTTCTATGGTAACATGTAAATTATTCAGTGAAATTAAATTAAAGTTAAATAAAGCAACAGAACCAAAAATCGAAAATTATGATAGAGAGGGTAGTATGGCACATTGGACTAAATTATCAACAACTTATGTTATGTTTTTTAACTGACCTCAATTGAGCAGAAAAAATAAATTTCCTATAATTCATGAAGGTGTTAATTGCTTTTCAAGTCCATAACAATTTTGATAAAATATTATTATTTTGAATTGCTTAAACACTCAAATCCTCAGAGGAAACAGAGTATAGCCACCTTTAATTTCTTCTTATTTGTACACTTACCTCATGTTTAATAGACCTTGCACCATAACGCACATTATAACCATCGGCTAAGACATCTAACACTTGTCTGTCCCACTCTATCTGCATATTGTGATTCTTTTTAGCCTGTATAACAGTATTTATAATAATATATATACTGCTCACAATGTTGACAAAGCACATATTCAGTTATTCTCTATATCCATACTTTTGATTTATCCTGTGAATTTTTCCATGCAACATGTAATAACACTCTCATTTTTTTCAAATAAAGTCCATACATAAAATAAGTAAAATAAATATATTCCATAATTGAAAGTGTTGATAGTTTTAAAAAGTGTACAGTTCTTTAATGTTAATAGTTGAAACTGTATCAATCTTGATACTGGACAGAACATAATGAAAGTTACAATACCTTAGCAGCCCAGAAATTCAATTCAATCAAGACTAACTTTATAAGTTCGGATCTTGAAAATGGTAAGAAGTACACCATTTCATTGATTCTTCCAAGAAACTCATCTCGTCGAAAGTGTCTCTTCAAAATAGGTTCTACTACATTGTCTTTGAAATTTCTTGATATAGTGATTCTTTCAGAAATGTCTAAATCACCTGTATAATAAAAACAAGTCAAAAATGTTGTTACTACAACAGGGTTTATTGCCCAAGATACAAATGTAGCTCTAGTCAGCCATTATTACCAGTGTGCCAGCAATGACATAATGTAGATATTATACCTATGTTTCCTTTTTGTCTTTGCATTGATATATCTTCTGCTTCATTTCGGAGTTGTATAGCATGCCTTGCTATCTCATCACTTGCCAGATTTGAAGTCATAATAAATATAGCGTCTTTACATTCAATTGTTTTACCTTTACCATCTGTTAATCTCCCCTACACAGAAAAGTAAATAAGAAAAATCTTATAGACAATTTAAACAAGTGACCTTACGTTCCAAATACCTCCACTGATTTCTTACTGTCAGGATGTTAATTATGTTGTTTACAATTACAGATTAGCTAAAGCTAGGGTTATTTTCCATGATCATTATTATGATATTGCCATATTACAACCACAACAATTTACATGGTCGTTGCCAAGGGTGAGTAAAATCACCAGTTTACAAATCTCCATAAGTTCCAGAAATAACCAATATATTCGCTAAAATAGAG